AAAATAACAACTGGTAATTTCCTCAAAAATGATTCTAATGATTTTGATTAAATTTTAGTAATTTATGGAGACCATCTCCCTTAATAAAACTGCACTTGAAATCCATAAGTGGTATCTTCAGGAATATAATGGTATGTGCACTAGGTACACAAAGTGTTGATTTTGTTGAAACCAGCTTTATCAGTTTGGCAGATTTAATTAGTGTTCAGTTGTCAGTAACCAGCTGTGGTGTACTACGCAACAATTGATTCCATTTCCAAGGTAACACAGCCCTTTTCAGTTGTGTATGAGAAAATACGTGGTCTGACAATAAGTTCGCGAACTGATGGCGGTAAAAGTTCTACATTCCTTATTGCTGAATATCACTGTCATCGCCTTCAAAGTATTCCCCTTGGGAAGCTATGCACTGGTTCCAGCACCTAGTCCAACCTTCACAACAATTTTAGAACTGGTTATGTGGAATGGCCTTCAGAGCTATTGTCTTATTATGCCTAATGTCATCAGTGTCATAAAGATGCTTTCCTTTATCTTCAGAAACAGAAAAAAAGTCGCTGGGGGCTAGATCTGGTGAATAGGGAGGGTGTTCCAGCACAGTTATTTGTTTACTAGCTAAAAACTCCCTCACAGACAGTGCAGTGTGAGCAGCTGCATTGTCGTGATGCAAGATCCACGAGTTGTTGGCAAAAAGTTCAGGTTGTTTCCATCTGACTTTTTCATGCAGCATTTTCAGCACTTCCAAACGGTAAACTTGGTATGCCAACATCATCAAACCATACTGAGGTTTCTGTCCACTGCTGCCATGGCAAGCACACGACAGGTTCGCGAGCTTTATTGTCAGACCTTGTATGTGCAATGTAATTGCATCAGTTTTCGTATTATCTTCCATGTGGACTCTTCTCTTGAGATTTCCAACCAGAATTTGTATCATGACATGGCGCCTGAAACCCAAAATGGTGGATTCAGAAAAGACAGCCATTTCTAGGCAACGGCTTGTTGAAACACGTTTCTGCAGCATCGAATACACTGGGATAAATCTACATGTTGCCCAGAGACTGACGCCGTTTGCTAGGCAAGGGCTCCCTAAAATGCATTCTCATGTCAGCAGAGCTTCAGCAGAGGTTTTGGTGGATACAGGAAATCTTGGGATCACCAGGCTTTTCTGCTACAATGGATATGCAGAATAACAGAGGAACTGTAAGACGTGGTGTTCTATTTCTGATACACGTGAAGCCAGATTAGGCCGAGATGCAGAATCCAGAATGAAAGTTCGAGAATTAGAATTTTATGAACTACAGACTCTTCAGGATTCATTTTGTTAACAAGAAAGTAGAGCAGTAGGGCAGTTTGCAAGCGAGACATTCAGTCACAGCAGAGTAGCTGTCAATCAAAGAGAATTCAGAAGGCAACTGAATAGTTGAATTGTTGAAGATGTTATTTTGTGTGTGTAATTGTAAAAGAACAGCAGTAAATCTGTTCATCTGATCTAGAACCCATTATTTTCATCATGCGTACCCCCCTACACATGGCAGTATATATTTCTTGTGCATCTATGCTTGCTGCATGCCCTGCCGACCTCATTATTCTTCCTCTATCTATGTTAGGTGACCGCCTCCGTGGTCTAGTGGTCAGAATTCCTGGCTACAGATCCAGAGGTCCCGGGTTCGATTCCCGGCGCTCCCACATTTTGTGAGGAGAAGTAGGTCTGGAACGGGGTCCACTCAGTCTCATGAGGATAATTGAGGAGCTGTTTCAAGGAAATAGTGGCTCTGGTCTAGGAAACCGAGATTAATGGCTGTGGGGAACCATTGCCCTGACCACATGACACCCTCTATCTGCAAAAGTTGGTACTAACTTCACTGACAAGTGGCGGTCGCTCGATCAGTATAGTTCGCTTGTGGACTACAGGCCACAGTGTTTGTTTTGTTTTTATCAATGTTAGGCGAAGAGTAGATCCTCTCTACATGTAAGGAATGTGGATGGCTTGGCAATCATTGAAATGCATGTGTTTACGTGTTCATCTGCAAACAGTGTTCAGCCACCACCTTCTGTTATTTACATGTCAGTTTTGCTTTGTATCTTTGCATAAAATAATGTGGCTAAAATCTGGCAGATTTTTAAAAAATCGATTACCAGAGGTGTGTACTTTACCAAGGAATTATATTTACTTCTGTCAGCACAGTGCAGTCACTACCCATGAGAGAACACTCAGCAATACAAGATCATCCACCACCAGAACACAACCCGGAGGGGGAAAGAGAACAGAATTCCACCACCATAAACACAGAACTGAAGAATGAAAAACAAGAAGATAAGATCAAATCAGAAGGATTCCACATACGTGGGGCAATCCAAAAGTTTCCGAAATTTGAATTGTGCGCGCGAATGGTTATGAATACATCAAAATACTGCTAGGTGTCTCGTCACACATCCTTCTTGAATCTGTGTGGCGAGCGGCGTCGACTTGAGTGGTTGGGTTTATTGTTGGTGAACGTATTTCCATTGTTGTGTTTCCGTGAGTTTGCGGTTTTGCGATAGCTGACCTGAGAGAGCAGCATGTCTGTATAAAGTTTTGTTTCAAACTTGGGAAAACCGCTGCAGAAACGCACCAAATGTTGAAGCAAGCTTTTGGTGACAACAGTTTAGGCCAGACACAAACTTACTACTGGTATAAGCGTTTTAAAAATGGCTGAACATTGACTG